TAAAATCATAGGTATGTAAAGTTTGTTTTTGGAAGATTTGTTATTTAAGATTTGAAAATTCTGAATAAGATATCCTAAATAAGTTTGTTTAAATCAGATTATTTATTTTTATTATTATTTTTTTTTTGTATAAAACGGTTTCATACGAATTTTAAAATCCAATACAAAATAAATAGTTTTTTTTTATTTAAATTTTCGTTTATAGTTTTTTTTATTTAAATTTTCGTTTATAGTTTTTTTTCTTTTTTTTAAATAAAATTAAAAAATACAAAGGTTTGTATTTTAAAAAGAGTATAATGTGTATCCTAAGGCAATGTCACATTGGCAATGCACTAGGGTATTGATATACATGACACAAGTTTGAGTCTCTAAATGCTTCATTTTATCGTTGTTTTTACTAAATAATTATTTTAAATAAAAGATTTCATTTAGAGTTTTTTTTTATTTTTTTTATTTTTTAAACAAAATTCAAAAATACAAAAGATGTATTTTGAAAAGGAACATAACTTATATCCCAAGGTGGTGGCTTGTTGGTGAGGCGTTGGAGTGTCATCAACCTTGTTGCAAGTTTAAGTCTTAGTATTTGCTAAAATTAAAATTATTTTTTATTTATTATTATTTTTTAAATAATTATTTCAAAAACTCCAATGACGGGAATTAGAACTTCCAATATTCTCGAGGTGTCAAAATTTTTCTAATGGCTTTCGTGCCACTCATACCCTGAAGGGTTTCTTACGAGATAAGGGTTTGGAGTCGCCAGATTATATACGAGGTGTGATTGGTCACCTATTTTAAAAACTTGGTCTACGAAAAACAGATTCTGGTTCGAGAGTCGACTGAGCGTAGGGAAGGTGTTAGCACCCTACGACACCCGTTCGAAAATGGTACCACATTTTATCATAAATTATCCTATTATTTTATTTGGTCCAAGAAAAAACTATTTTTGTTTTGATCGAAATGTCCCATGTTATATTAATTCACACTTTGTTATAAGATATGAATTAATATGTATGAGTGACACGAAGGCCACTAG